AGTCCGGTTGAGGCCGGGGGTTTTTAAGGAGATGGGTCTCTGTCTTCACATATCTCCTCCTGAAACAAAGGATTTTATGGATGTAAATATTAAGAAGCTCCTATCTGAGTTTTCCCTTGAAGGTATCAGACAGGAGGAAGCCTAGCTGGTGCCATCCTGGGTTCAGAGGAAGGGTGAGCAGGACCCCCTAGAGAATGGGGATCAGAGCAGGGTGTTTGAAATGCAGGTACTGGGCTGCATCTGGGAGACTGTGGAAGATTTGTCAGGCAGAAGGGGCGGGACCCCCACCTGGCAGGTTATCAGGTAGAAGGGGGCAGGGCAGGATGGGAATACCGGGATGACTTTGAGATGCAGATGCATATGCTGGACATATGGCCTGTTACAGACACATAAGCTCATATCTGACTTCCTACCTAACACTTCAACTTCCCATCCAGCTCCCTGTTAATGCACCTGGGAAAGCAGCAGAAGGTAGTCCAAGTCCTTGGATCACTGTTAGCTGCTTGTGAGACCTGGATGGAGTTCCAGGATCCTGGCTTCGGCCTGGCCCAGTGCTAGCAGCCATCTGGGGAGCGAACCAGCGGATGGAAAATCTCTGGGTGTCTCTCTTATTCTGCCTTTCAAGTAAGTACATAGAACATTTTATAACAAAAACTTGGGGAGAAAACGTTAAACTGCTTACACTGAATCTACGTGGGCTACGGCTGCGATGTGCCACAGCACAGGGAGGCAAGGCCCTGGGATGGGAGACTCTACCACGTGGAGGGGCGATTGCTGCCTCCTGGTTGGATCTGAGAATGCGAAGTCGCCCGCGGAGCAGTGTGGGTCTTTTCTATAACGACTCAGCCCTAAGCTGTCGGATTAAGCTCCTCTCCCCTCCTCCTTCCATCCTCCACTCCAATTTAATTTAGGCTCTCAAAACTACTTCAGGAGTACACTGACACGTGTGCTTTTATTCGTCACCTACACTTCTACAGGTGCTCAATAACACGGCCATTAACACAGCCAGACTGACAGGTCCAGGAGGAAGGCCGTGCTCTGCGGGCCATTCAGGAGCCGGGCTCTAATTCATGGATAAGTCTCGGAGACTCCGAAAGAAAACTGGAAAACCACACAGTGCACATAAAACCAGGTAAAGACAGGCATTTCCACAAGTGAACTGGCGCCAGCTGACAACGTGGAAGGCTCATGAGAAGTGCCTTCAGGGTTAGGTGCGGGCAAAGGCGCGCGCTCCCAAGGCTGTCACCAAGTACACCAGCTCCAAGTGAGTCTTGGACGAGATGCCGGTGTCAGGGCCCACCTGCTTGAGCACCTCTCCTTGCGGCTGCGCCCTTCTTCTGCGCCTTGGTCACCGCCTTCTTGGAACCCTTTTTAGGAGCGGGGGCTGTGGTCACCAACTCACGCATCCCTACTCACACATCAAAGACCCTCGCCAAAACCACTGCAGACAGCAGCGGCAAGCTCGCTTTGTTCCCCTTATGTATAGGCGGTTATGCAAATTAGAGGCAGACCAGATGAGTTGTGATTGGTCTACATGTTATGATGACGTCAGATGCCTGTTTCGTCCAATGAAACCATATATCCTACATAACCGTGTTCCATTGGCCTAAAGGAAAGTACCCGCGGAGCCAATCGCAGCGCGTCGCTTCTGTGCTGAGAGGAGACTATAAAGTATCTGTTTTCCCGGCGTTTCCTGTCGTTCCAAACCGGCGTTGTGTGCACCCATGTCTGGACGCGGCAAGCAGGGCGGCAAGGCGCGCGCCAAGGCCAAGACGCGCTCGTCGCGGGCCGGGCTGCAGTTCCCCGTGGGCCGCGTGCACCGGCTGCTGCGCAAGGGCAACTACGCCGAGCGCGTGGGCGCCGGCGCGCCCGTGTACCTGGCGGCCGTGCTCGAGTACCTGACGGCCGAGATCCTGGAGCTGGCGGGCAACGCGGCGCGCGACAACAAGAAGACGCGCATCATCCCGCGCCACCTGCAGCTGGCCATCCGCAACGACGAGGAGCTCAACAAGCTGCTGGGCAAGGTCACCATCGCGCAGGGCGGCGTGCTGCCCAACATCCAGGCCGTGCTGCTGCCCAAGAAGACCGAGAGCCACCACAAGGCCAAGTGAGGCGCGAGGACAACGGCTCTTTTCAGAGCCACTTCCGGAGTCGGGAAAAGGCGGCACTGCCGAAAGTCCGACGCCGATCGGCGGCGCCGAGTCCTGGGTCCGGCCCGTGCGGCAGCTGCGGGGCCAGGCCGAGTCTGCCCGGAGTGGCGGGTTCACGGGTGCGGGAGTCCTGGTCTCGTGCTTACTCGGAGTGTGGCTCCCGCACAATGCACTAGCTGACACCAGCGTGTCCTGAGCCCTCGCTGAGCGGTTTCCGAGACCCTGTTGTCCAGAAAAGGACGACGGCTGTGCTGTATGGAGGCCGTTCGCCTTAGAAAGCAAGTGTTTTCCGATGTGCGTGCCTGTTACCTAGTGACCCCCGAGTCGCACGTGTGTTTTACTGGGTCCTTCACAACACCTGATGTTCTTCTGTTCGTTCTGTGTGATACTTGGAATCTCGTGGTACCTGGGTTTTCTCCTCTTCCAATCCCGTTTCCTAAGCATTGCTGAGTGAGGCATTGCCGGGTGAGTAGGTGGCCAGGCCAGGCGGCTCGCACTTGCTGACGCTCATGGCCCTGAGTGCCTTTAAGCTGCTGCCGGCGGCGCTAATGAGTAGGCGCCCGCCGTTGGAGAGTGATCCCTGCTGGGAAGCCACTTTGAGAAGGGTGAGGTCAAAGGTCCCCACGTCCGAATTTCTATACGTTTTCAATCTAGGCCCCGATAATACCATTTATACCGCATAACAGTTCTATGTCTGGAAATTCAGCTACAGACTGTTTCTTTTTCCTCTTGCATTAATTTCTAATGGATTTGTTCCTAAGTGCCACGCATTAGAGCGCTAACAGAACACTGCTTGTCCTGAAGAAGTGCAGTCTACTGGGGAAGAAGACAAAGCAATCCAGCACCATAGCAAGAATAACTAAAGAGAACACACGGACTGGGAGTAGCAAGGAGTCGAGTCTGGAAGGGAGCATCTGAATTGAACGTAAAGGAAGCTGAGAACCAGGCAGTGCAGGTCACTTACAGCTCATAGCGTGTGATGAGTGCAAAAAATGACGAGAGGCTCAGTGTTGGCAAAAGGCAAAGGATGGAGACAAGCAGGAGCCAGAAGGGATTTGTAGGTCACTGTTAGTTGCAAGGATTTTTTTGTGTACTAATTGCTACCCCAGACTTAACTCTACCTTCTGAAATTCTTCTGAATCTCCAGGAAAGAAAATACATACCATGAACGTTCATCAGGAAACTACTGTACTTTTCCCATGATCCTTGCAATAAGTGGATCTACCTGCCATCAGAGGAGCCAAAATGATGTATTGCCACTGGGTACTCATTGTGTGCCACTGCTACTGATGCCTGTATGGGAGATGAGAACAAAGTGGAGAAAGAGCTTAGCTAAGCTACCAGATAGGGAATGATTTATATGCACATGCACATAAACGTAATTCCCCAGGGCTCCTGAATAAACACTGTGTCATGTGACCACAGCCAGAAATTAATGGCAAGAGTGTATTGGCTACATCTCCAGGGCAGAGTGCAGGCCTAGGGATATCTATGGACATTCCTGATCTAATAATTGTTGGGTTCTCAGCCCAAAGAAATGGATGCAGTGCTTACACACTCAGCGATGCCAGTCTGTCTGGCATTTGGGTCAGCAGGCCCTGCCACCACCAAGTGGTCCTGGGGGCTTTGTTTCCCTCCAGAATTGTGGGTCTCCCTTTTCAGAGGAAGGGAAACAGCAGAGAGGGGGTGCTTAGTACTTTATTTTTGTTTAAGGTGGTGATTCCAATAGAAAGCTTTAGACCATTGCTTCAATATGGTGCAATTTGGGAATTCTACGATCCATATTGTGTAAATCACGCTGGTCCTTCTCCATGAATGCAGGGAGGCAATGAGCACGAGACATTTGTAGCAGTTCCAGCAGCAAGCTCATGCAGCAACAATGACTCAGCAAGGAATCAGTGGAAACTGAGTGGCAGAGAGGCCAGTGAAGCAGATGGGAATGGACTGCTTTCTAGAGCTGAATGTAGGAGTGGGCCTTTGGCATAGACCTAGAGCCCCCACTCAGGATGCCTGGGCCCCCACTTTGCCTCTGATGCAGCTTCCTGCTCATGGACGCCCCTTGGAGACAGTGCTGATGGCTAAGTACTTGGGTCTCTCCCACCCACATAGGAGCCTGGACTAAGTTCTGGGCTCCTGGCTTTGGCCTGCCCAGACCTGGCTGTTGCTGGCCGTGGGTAATCTTTGGTGTCTCTACCTTCCAAATATGCAACCAAATTAAAGAGATTCAATATAAAATACATCTTCTCCATTTACATCTCACAAGCTGAGGGTGGCCAGACAGTCACACAGATTGCACACAATGGTTAACACATGTAGAATTCTCAATACATTCCGGCAGTGTACTTGCCCACAAGTGCACCTAGGTTAGTCTTTACTTACACTTAGTAAAACATTTCCCGCTGCCCATTCTTTGATTTGTCTAGCATATAGAAGAGCTGTCTACATTTGTGGGGAATATCCAGGCCAACAAATGCCTGTCTTTGAAGGTGCACCTTAGGAGAAAGGAACCATGTATGGGGTGACAAGGAACTCTAGGAGCACACAGGTGGGGGACAATGGACCTGGTAAGTAGCAAAGCTGTCAGTGACGTCAGAACACAGCAGCCTAGTAGAGGCGGTCTCCCTGGCTAACAACCCACGTGTTGGGTTGTATGGACGCCTGACTAGAACCTACATTTATGTGAACAACCTCACCGACCAAAGGCACAGCAGTTACAGTTCCCCAGCGCACGTGTGTGGCTCTGAAAAGAGCCTTTGGGGTGTGGGCGGGGGGGGGCGCCAGGCTCAGGCCCGCTCCCCGCGGATGCGGCGCGCCAGCTGGATGTCTTTGGGCATGATGGTGACGCGCTTGGCGTGGATGGCGCAGAGGTTGGTGTCCTCGAAGAGGCCGACGAGGTAGGCCTCGCAGGCCTCCTGCAGCGCCATGACGGCCGAGCTCTGGAAGCGCAGGTCCGTCTTGAAGTCCTGCGCGATCTCGCGCACCAGGCGCTGGAAGGGCAGCTTGCGGATGAGCAGCTCGGTGGACTTCTGGTAGCGCCGGATCTCGCGCAGCGCCACCGTGCCGGGCCGGTAGCGGTGCGGCTTCTTGACGCCGCCCGTGGCCGGCGCGCTCTTGCGGGCCGCCTTGGTGGCCAGCTGCTTGCGCGGCGCCTTGCCGCCCGTCGACTTGCGCGCCGTCTGCTTCGTGCGGGCCATGCCGGGGAATCCTACGCGCTGGGAGAGCGAACGACAGAGAGCCCGCGCCGGCGGCCAGCACTTATACTGCTCATGCGGCCCTGATTGGGCAGAGCTGTGGCGGGCGGAACCCGATTGGAGGGAACTCCAGTGTGCGTTTGGCTATTCCCGCCCTTCGGATCCGGGTCACGGCTCCTGACGTCACATTTCGTTCGCTGCTTTGGACCAATCGCGGTCGTGTTCCGCCCACGGAGAGGATTTTTGAATGGAGCGCGAACCGTTCTTCAGGAAACGCGTTTTTGTTCGACTCTTGACCGCCTCGGCTGGATGCGAACGCGGAGCGGCGCTATCGTAGCCTCCCCGGCTTCCCTCGGGGTCCCTGAGGAACGGCTCCCACCCCGGCCCGGGAGCCGCGCGCGCCTCAGCCCCGACCTCCCACCGTCCCCTCCGGGAGCGCGGGACCCCGGCCTGAGAGCCGCGGTCGCCTCAGCTTCGGTTCCCTGCCCCGTCAGGCGCCCACTCTGAGAGCGCGGGACCCGACTCGCCCGGCTCTTATCCTGAAGCTTCCTGTCCGCGCCGCCCCGACCCCTTCCAGGGCTCGGTGAGAAGACTAGAGACCCAGCCCCCCGAGACCGGCTCCGCCGCCGACGGAGAGCCGCCATTTCACTTCCGCGAGGACTAGAGACCCAGCCCCCCGAGATCAGCTCCGCCGCCGACGGAGAGCCGCCATTTCACTTCCGCGCCGCGGCAGGCGCTGGCCAATCACGGCGGGGGGCGGGCTCTCGGACGGCGCCGCCGCCCAATCAGGGCCGTCAGCGGCCCCGGGGAGCGGAGGCGGGCAGACGCCTCTGCCGCTGGGGCTCCCTGCAGCCGCGGTAACGTTAGCCCGGCACGTCGGCCCCGCCGGGAGAGCTGCCCGCCCGGGGAGGGTGCGTAGAGTCCCGCAGGCCCTGAGTCAAGGGACAGTAAAGGCAGAGTCGGAGTCCATCGGACCCCACCGGACGGTGCAGGTGGACTTGCGCCGACGGGCTCGCGTGGCGCCAGCACCCACAGCCGTCCCAGTGCTCGCGGAAGCCCGGCACCGGCAGACCGAGGGAGACCTGCGCGTGTCGCCTCGTCCTCCCGGCCCAGGGCAGCGTATCTGTGCGCACTCGGAACTCCCCGGGTCAGCAGAGCCCAGCACGCCGGCCTGACTTCACCAGAGCCGGGGATGGGGCGAAGTCCCGCGTTCTTCTGCCCCACTCCGCCCCTGGGGAAGCAGGGAAAGCTGGCAGGGAAAGCTGCTTGGAATGCTTGGACCCCCTGCACCACAGTTCAGAGAAGCCTACATACACAACGGGTCACCTTGTAGGTGTAGGGAGTGACCAGCGGACACAAGAGCCGGTTCTCCGTGTCTGCAAAACCCAACATTGCTGTTTCTCCGTGCTTAATTAAATATTCATTCATACAGCGTTGTGACCGAGTGCTCAGTCCTTTCGTGGACGCCGTGGTGGCTCTGAAAAGAGCCTTTGGTGCGGGCGCGGGCCGGGCAAGGCCGGGCGGCGCGCGCTCACTTGCCCTTGGCCTTGTGGTGGCTCTCGGTCTTCTTGGGCAGCAGCACGGCCTGGATGTTGGGCAGCACGCCGCCCTGCGCGATGGTGACCTTGCCCAGCAGCTTGTTGAGCTCCTCGTCGTTGCGGATGGCCAGCTGCAGGTGGCGCGGGATGATGCGCGTCTTCTTGTTGTCGCGCGCCGCGTTGCCCGCCAGCTCCAGGATCTCGGCCGTCAGGTACTCGAGCACGGCCGCCAGGTACACGGGCGCGCCGGCGCCCACGCGCTCGGCGTAGTTGCCCTTGCGCAGCAGCCGGTGCACGCGGCCCACTGGGAACTGCAGCCCGGCCCGCGACGAGCGCGTCTTGGCCTTGGCGCGCGCCTTGCCGCCCTGCTTGCCGCGTCCAGACATGATCAGCTGCCAAATCAAGTCTCAGCAACGTGAAACAGCGGACCCGCTACCAGCTACTTATACCCTGCTGTGGTTTCCTGACGCAGCCTATGCCAGTGGCCGGATGCAAACTGCAGCCAATCAGAAAGCAGCAGTAAAGCCAGGCCCGCTTCCAATTTCCTTAAAACGTAACGAGTTCAAAGGCCATCGTCCCGGAGGCGGGAGATGCAAAAGGAACCAATCAGAGTGCAGGGTCAAAACTAGCCTATCAGAGAGGAAGACACTAAACTAGCCAATGAAAACCCGAATCGCTGCAACCCCTCATTTGCATCCGCACCAAACAAATAGTCGAGGTGCGTGCGCTGGCCCACACTTGGTTTCTTCGCGCTAGAAGACTTGGAGGTTTGCAGCATGCCCGAGCCCGCGAAGTCTGCGCCGGCCCCGAAGAAGGGCTCCAAGAAGGCGGTGACCAAGGCGCAGAAGAAGGACGGCAAGAAGCGCAAGCGCAGCCGCAAGGAGAGCTACTCGGTCTACGTGTACAAGGTGCTCAAGCAGGTGCACCCCGACACCGGCATCTCGTCCAAGGCCATGGGCATCATGAACTCGTTCGTCAACGACATCTTCGAGCGCATCGCCGGCGAGGCCTCGCGCCTGGCGCACTACAACAAGCGCTCCACCATCACGTCGCGCGAGATCCAGACGGCCGTGCGCCTGCTGCTGCCTGGCGAGCTGGCCAAGCACGCCGTGTCCGAGGGCACCAAGGCTGTCACCAAGTACACCAGCTCCAAGTGAACAGTCTCTTGCTTTCAGAAACCCAAAGGCTCTTTTCAGAGCCACCACGTTCTCAGGAGAAGCAGCTGTGCTGTTGTGTTACGTCGTGTGGTGGGAGTGAGGGGCGAGGTCTTGCAGCGGCAGAGGCATCTGCCCGTCTCCGCTTCCCCCGAGGCCGTTGAGGACCCTGATTGGGCGGCGGCGCCGTCCGAGCACCCGCCCCCCGCCGTGATTGGCCAGTGCCTGCGGTGGCGCGGAAGTGGAATGGCGGCTTTTCCGTCAGCCCCGGTACTGCGCGGAGGACGCCTCTCTGTGGAGGGCTTGGGCTTTAGTCCTTGCACTGTGCCGTGAAGGGGTCGGCGCGACGCGGACATGAAGCTTTAGGATAAGAGCCGCCGACTCGGATCCCCGCGCTCTCAGAGTGGGCGCCCTCCTGTACAGGGAGCTGGGGCTCTGATGCGGGCGCGGCGCTCAGTGTGGACGGTGGGAGGTCGGGGTTCTGAGGCGGGCGCGGCGCTCGGTCCGGTGGTCCCGCGCTCAGTGTGGACGGTGGGAGGTCCGTGCTCTGAGGCGGGCGCGGCTCTCAGATCTGATCCCGCGCACCCAGTGTGGACGGTGGGAGCCGGACTCTGAGGCGGGCGCGGCTCTCAGGTCTGATCCCGCGCTCCCAGTGTGGACGGTGGGAGCCGCCCTCAGGTTCCTGTGACGGAAGCCGGAGAGCCCCGCGCGCGGGGTGAGGCAGCCGCGCCCGAGGGTCGGGGCAGGGCAGGGGGCTCGAGGCCGGGGAAGGGGCTTTGGCACGGCCGAGCCGGCCCGGGTCCTGCGGCGGGTCCCCGTAGTGCCCTGCCCGACGCGGGCGCCCCTGGCCGCTCCGGAGCCGGACGCGCTGCCCTCTCGTGGCCAGGGCGCAGGAGCGCGGCCCGCGGACGGCTCCCTCCCGCCTGGCACTGGGGCGGGAGGCTCCGCGGAGCGACGCTGACCCCGCTGTCCCCGCATCCGCAGGAACGCGCGCGTGCCAGGCCGGCGGGGGGCGGGGTAGACGGAGGGACGGTCGTGTTGGGTGTGGTCTGAGTTGCTCAATACAAACTGAACGTTCTGTACCCTAGGACCAGACAACAGGATTACGCTTTCTGGTTCCGGTCCTCAGAAGCACCGACCATCTCCAGGCGGCTTTTGCGGGGTTGCTGCCCGCCCCCTGTCTGACCCGGGAGGACGATAATCACGCGGTTTAAGGCGCAGTTCGCCCACCACGAACAGGCCGCTGTCAGCCTGGTCATCTGTCACTTCGCAGTCTTCCTTTTGCCCTTTTCCTTTAAGCACCTGTGAGTTCTCTTCCAAAGTTCCACTCGCGTACCTTCTTTGGAGAGAGACTTTCTCTTCCACGCATCCCGCTGCAACCGGGCTCCGCTTGATAGGATTCACACAGCACAGAGGCCTAAACTACAGACTTACTTTCTCGCCCTCTGGCTATCAAAGCCTCAGCAGGGCTGAGTCTCTCTCCCCTTGTTTATGCCCACCCACGGCCTGCCTTGTGCCCTCCAACGCTGCCCTCTCTTCCTCTGTGAGGCCACCAGAGCCCTGTCTCCGTTACCATTCACGTCGGAGATTAAGACTTAACGCTGAGATTTATTTATTTGAAAGACTGAGTCACAGAGAGAGAGGGAGAAAACCATCTTCCATCCCCAAGTGGCCACAACAGCTAGGGCTGGGCCAGGGACTGCATCCACGTCTCCCATGTAGGTGCAGGGGCCCAAGGGTTTGCTTTTCCAGACCATTAGCAGGCAACTGGATCAGAGTGGAGCAGCCAGTGCTCAAACGGGTACCATACCCAGTACACCACAACGCCGACCCTTCCCCCCATTCAGTTCTTAACAGCGCTTAGGACTGTTTTCCATGCTTCAGTCCCAGCCTGCTCTTCCAAATTCTCTTTGCTGAAATGGCTAAAGTGACCGTTGAAATTTCCTAAACCAGAGGTGAAAAGCTGATTGCCCCTGAGGTCTCAGCCGATGAAAGCAAAAGTGGCTGGGTGTGAGAGACCAGGCCTCATGTGCACAAAAAGTGCCCTTGGCTGTTCTCCCTGAAGCACGCAGCCTTCCGACACTGTTCCCTTTCTCTAGTTCTGGAAGAGATACTGACCAAGACGTGTCCCACTGTTCTTTTAATTCTGCCGTGAGACCGAGCGTGGCACCAGAGCAGCTGGCGTGTGGGACGTGGGGGCCTGTGGGAGCCACAGAGAACAGAGGAGCACAAAGCCCGCCCACGCCGCTCACAAGGTGCCTTTGTAGCTGTGTGGGCACAGACAGGGAGCCTTTCAGCTTTCCAAGAGGACATGCATCTTCATCTAATCTAGTTTTTCAATACTGGCAACTTATAATTATATGTGTATATATATAACACGCTACAGACTAAACAAAACCAACGTCTGCTGCCATCATCCAGTCATCTCGCTCAGGATCTCTGGCCACAAACAAAACCTCAGCCCATGAAAGCTGTCTGGTCTATTGACCCTGCCAGGCCAAGGTCAGACACCCCGGCCTTCCCAGCTTTCTAGATCCTCAGCTGAAAACCCCCTCCCCTCTTGGCCTCTCTGGGCAGGGGCACGGGATAAAGTGGTTGAAAGAAAAACTAAATTCTTCACTCACAGCAACGAGGTGACGGCGGTAAAAAATGTTTGGAGTTGTTTAGTGTGGATTGAAGAGTTATATGGATCTTTGCTTTTTTTTATATGTTCTTTGCTTCTTGTGTTACATCTGTCTTATATTTTAACCAATATTTTTAAAAGATGTATTTATTTGAAAGGCAGAGATACATAGAAAGGGAAAGACAGAAAGAAAAAGAAATCTTGCATTCGCTGGTTCAGTCCCCAAATGGCCACAACAGCTGGGGCTAGGCCAGGCGGGAGCCATGAACCTGGAACTCTCTGACCCCAGAGCTTGGGCCATCTTCTGCTCTCCCAGGCACAGCGGCAGGGAGCTGGATGGGAAGTGGAGCAGCTGGGACTTGAATCATGTGGGATGCCATGGACACAGGGGGCTTGACCCTCTGAACACATCACTGGCCCCTTAATATTTCAATTAATAAATCAGTTACATACATTAAGGGGACACGGTGTGATGTTTTCATACATGTGAACAAACAATAGGGAGTGATCAAATGGTTGTCATAGCTAGTGATTAGCGTACGCACCTCCCTTGGCTTTGTTATTGTGACACATTCTATCTCTACTCTCCTTTGATCCTGACTCTGAAATGTCCTCGTTGCTCTCTAGGGAGTGTTGCTTTCTCGCCTGTCTTACAATGAACAAAAGCAGGAAGGAAGGAAGGTGGAGGGGCCTGGAATCAGGCTGAAGCCCAGCCCCTTTTTCTGTGCTGTGGCCTCTCTGCCAGTGCTCCTGTTTCCAGAACAGTCTCCCCTGCCTCCAGCCCCCATTCCCAATGTTCCACTTACAGGGGACACAGGCTCAGATCCTGTCTACGTCAGCTCTCTGTCTGTGATTAGGGATTTCATTGACCTCCACTCCTGTGAGAAGCAGGAAGAACTGGCTGTGTTTGTCAGACTTAAAGAAAGAAATAGCACCATGCCCGAATTCTTGAGGGAATGTCAGTTTGCATCTCCTGAATAAGGAAACATGTTTTTTAAGAGCAAAGCAGTCGTTTGTGAACATTTTGAATCTGAATGCTACTTCCCTGAGTCCTGGTGACAATGTCCAAGGTCTGGCTGTCAGAGGCCGGGGCCTGGGCCTTTCCCTGGCGCCCAGGGAAGGGTCCACCCCTCTGCTGCCTGTGAGGGAAGGGATTTCTCTCCACAGCACTGAGAAGGGCCTGTGTGTTCAGGAGCAGGTAGAACACCACTAATTAGCGCCTGGCTATGAAAGCCGAACACTGAAACGGCCTGGGGCAGCATCCAGAAGATGAGCAACAAGAGTGGTATCGGCCTTGGACAGCTTCACTCCCACTCGCACCAGAGGACCAGTGGGCCTTCCTTGCAAACCACGCGTGAGGGTTTCGTGGCCCAGGGAAGCCCTCATCCTCCCTTTGTTTCTGGACACAAACAGCGGCCCCGGCTGTTTCCAGACCGCAATCCTGGTCTTTATCCCTCCCCACCAAGTCCCTTTATTGGAGATTCCTCTCTGTATTTGTGTTGACTTTGACAATTCCAGGGGCTGAGTGTGGACAGGAGGGTGGGGGCAGGGGAAGAGTCTCAGTCCATTTTGTTCCTCCAGACCTCACCAGGTTTCCTGCCGGCAGAGTGACGCCCCATACCAGGAGAGTCGGGCCTGCAGGGACTCTGCGACTTGG